TTAAATCCCTACAAAGAGGGGATCAAACTAGTTAGTTTTTATGAAACCATTGTTGGTGGATATTCAACTTTCATTTTTTTAAAAAAATAGAAATTGGATATTAAAATTTTCTCAATTCAGTATTTTAAAAGGTTATATATTATTTGATGCTAGTGAATGTCTCGGTATTTTCAATGTTAGTTTTCCAATGGATTTACATCTGGGGATATTCTTTATTGGTATCATCATGTGCACTCTATTTGTTCTTGTCTGGCAGTCAAGGCAAAAAGCTCTTGCAGATCTACATCAGATGCAAACTGTCCATGTAAGCTTCACTTGTATCTACTTCGTTGAGAAATGCTTAAATAGAAACTACCCAAATATGTAGCTCTCTCCATTTGACAAAGCATCATTTTTTTTTTTTTGCTTCGGTTGCATTATATTTTTTTAATCATTGTTGCCTATCTATGAGATACTTTGAAGCTTTGAGGCGAAAGTTATGACTAGAGATGCGTTTTTCTCTCTTTCTTTTGGTTGAATTTTCTTATTTTCTAATTAATGTGTGGCTTAACAAGTGCTGCTGGAAGGCTGGTTTCCTAGTAATTGCTTGTTAATTTCTTGTGTTTACCAGCTTGAGAAGCTTAGCGACACACAGTGCCAACCTGAGTCACAGCTTAAGTTCATAACCGAGGCCTGGCTACAGGTAAACAATGGTTTCATCAGAGATTGTAAAATTTCAGCTTTCAATTGTGAACTAATTTTTATATCCTTGACTTTTGAAAGTAGAAATCTGTTCACAGATTGGATTCCCTTTATGAAATTTCTGTTCTATTGAATTGTTTCTCGAATCTATAAGGCTATTTTGGTTGGTAGTTATTTTATTGGTGCATTTCATTAATTAATGATAGAGGGAGGTGCAAGGGATACCATTGGAGAAGAGAAAGGGGCTGAAGGACAAAAACTCAGATTCTGGGACTTGCTGAAAAATAATACATATTTGGGCTGAAAAGAGAAGCAAAGATAGGTGTGGCGGTTGGAGAGAAGGTAGAAGTGGCCATATAACAAAAGTGGAGGGAAGGGGGAACTTTTGGGAAAAGAACAGGGAGAGATCTGGCCGCTCAAAAGCCAGCATGTACTGTTGTTTGTGTTTGGTAACTTGACTATCAGTTGTCTTTGTAGTGGTGAGAGTTATTTGTTGTGTTTAGATGGGGAGTGTGTATCTGAACATGTGAGTGTCGTAAGCCTGTGCTGGTGTGGTGGTGTGACTTCCATGTTTTATGTGCTGTTGTAACTTTTGTAATTGCGGGATAATATTTTTCAATGTAAGCGCCTCTGTTTTGTGGCTGTGTTCTTGCTGTTTGTGTGTTTGCTGGTTGGTTCCTGTCACTTCCTAATCCTAGTTTTCGTGTTCACAGATAGTTGAATGCAGGCGAGTGCTGAAGTGGACGTATGCATATGGTTATTATTTACCAGAGCATGAGCATGCTAAAAAACAATTTTTTGAGTACTTACAAGGTCAAACATGTCAATTTGAATTTTGTTAGAACTGTTTTGTATTTGTTTTAGTTCCGCCGCATAGAATACTTTATTGTTTTTCTTTCAGGTGAGGCAGAATCCGGTTTGGAGAGACTTCATCAATGCGCTGAAAAGGAATTACAGCAGTATCTCAATGCTGATGGCCCATCTAAAGAGTTCAATGACTTCCGGACCAAGCTAGCCGGATTGACCAGGTATATGTTGATTTGGATGTTGTTATCCACTGCCATTTGCTACTCTCTTTTATTTATGCCCCCCCCCTCCCCCGGGGGGGGGGATTGAGGTTTAACATGCTTTTTACATGACCCCGAGCAGTTCTGTTTTGCTTTATGGTATGTTTTGGAGTTGGAAAGGAAATTTTAGAAGGTTAAAATTAAACTATTTTCCTTCTCCTTGATTGAGTGTTTGGTAAGGAAGGGAAAATGGAGGGTGGAAAATAATCCGGTTAAAAGTATTGCATGCCTTCTTTGGATATACCCAACAAAGAAAACCCCTAAATATAACTTGGAAACACGTGCTATGGAAAATCTTTGGAACTGTAGTTACACTGTCATATTTGGAGTGGACATCTAATTTGTAGCGTGTATACTACACGTATCGTGTTTTAAAATAATGATGCTGTGTGTGTTGTGGGCTTTCATCTTTTCGGGCTTTTAAATGCTAATGTGTTTGTCATCACGTTCTTTTTTCTCATGGTATGGTTTTAGAATACAGTTTATTAAATAGCATATTATCAAGGATCTTCCCCTATTTATAAAAGATGGTTTGGAGGGTCATGTATTGAATTTGAAGGCATAGACTTTTTTTTTTTTTAAAAAAATTTCTAATCCATTTGTTTTTGCAGTGTGACTAAAAACTACTTCGAGAATTTGGTTAGGGCATTAGAGAATGGTTTATCTGACGTAGATAGTAATGGAGCTACTTCCAGCAAAGCAGCGGGCTCAAAAAATGCTGCAAGCAGCAGCAAGGGGAGAGGTGGAAGAGGAAAAGGAACTGCACGAATCAGCGTTTCCAATTCCAATAAAATGACGGATGATTCTAATTGGCATTGTGAGCACTGTACCTATGCAAATACTATGTCCGTTAACACATGCCAGATGTGTCATCAACAGCGTCGATGAAAATTAGGGTTTTCCATGGGGAATGCCTCTCTCCAAGGCCTAAGTCTATCACACAGTTGAAATGGATTCTCTTTCTGTCGAGATACATGCATGCTGGCTTCTATTCTGGGCTATTTAGTAGGTGAACAGGATGAAGGCAAGAAGGGGGTTGGTCTCTGGAGCATGTTATCCTCCTTGCACTTACATGGAATACCGACCCAATTTAATGTATATAGCGATCTACTTTATATTTTAGGTATGGTGTTTCAACAACAGGCTTTATAATAACTGAGCATCTTGTACGACACATGATGGAGACGAACACAAATGTGCTTGTTTGTGTCTTCATTTCTTTCAGTAAATCCATTATCTGCATCTGTAAGATAATGTCTTCGCTTCGGTCTATAAGTTGGGTGGGCGCGCTTTTGTGCGATCGTTTTTTCTTTTTTCTGACTTGCAAACAAGTCGCCATACCATGTAGATTTAACGTTGCTTGAGCCAGTCAAATAGAATGAGGAGGGAGGTTCGTTATTCGTTTCCCATAACTGCATCTAGATTTTATATCCAAAAAACAATATGTTTGAGTTCGATACTTCATCCTGTGATATCATCCAAAGCATGCATGCCTTCGGGAGCAACTAAGGTATTGCAAATCTTGATGCAAGGCTTTCTGTAGTGCGCGTTCACAATGAATACGAGTTTCCTTGGATTGCAGTGGTAAAATATGAATGTTGGGATGGGGGTCCGTGACAATTCCTGAGGGGGTTAACGGTTCAATTGCGGTGGTCGACAGTCATTCGAGTTGCAGCCATCCTCTTGCTGCTGCCAATTAGCAGTTGCTTTTGTGCTTAACAGAATATAATTTTATTTTGGTGGAAATATATATTTTTCTATTGCTTAGTTCATCGTTGTTCGTTGTTGTTGTAAAGTACTGGTGAAGAATGTAGCTCCTATATACAAGTCATTTCTAACTAATATATTAGGACAAAAAAATTGGTTAAATTTATAAGTAATTTTAGTTAACCTAAACGTAAGAAAGCAGCTGTAGCATGAGGGAGTTGGGAGAATTTAAACTAAACACATAAGAATGTATTTGAAAAAAAAAATTATCTTTATAAACTTAATAAAAATATATATTTTTTCAACAAAATTTTCTCCTAACAATTCAAGTGTTAAATTCAACTAAGATTACATCCGCCCTTTTTTAATTTTAAACAAATTAGCCTAGTTGATATTCCCAAAATCATCTCATCTTTCCAACATCCAATCTTGCTCATTTCTTCTAATTTATCTCTTCATTATAAATACACTTATGTAATATCAGGGATATTATTAAAAAAATATTAATTGTTTCATAAATTTTACAAAGTGACAAATTAGAGGGAGTAGGTAGCTTTTTCAAATAATTGTTTTATAAATCGGTGGCAGATTGGGTTGCCAAGATTTCGTTAAAGAAATTGTGTCCTCCCAATTTTATTCCTAAAGCCTCAATTCCTCTTCAATGTTCGTTGGAGATTGATCGTGCTGCTATTCGAGATTTTGGATGATTTTGTTTTTCTTGTTCTTTTGTTTTGTTGTGTTGTTTTTGGTTGTATTTGAGCTCCTTTGGTTATTTGAATGGAATCTCTTCTCTACTAGCCACAAAAAAAAAAAAAAAAACTAATCAAGGGTATAATTGTTTAGCCAAATATAAATATTTATATATATCATATATTTTCATAACATACAAAACACACTTATTTCTTTTTCCTGTTTTTATTAAAAAAGATATTCTTCGTACCAAAGGGGTTTATTCTCTTGTCGTCTTGACCAGAAAGATCAAAGATGTGGATTATTGAGGTGAATTTAGAATTTTGAGTTCAACAATCACCATCACCAATGCCAGATAAAAGTCAGTCGAGTAGGGTAAGAATTTGGCAGACATCACATTTTCTATTTTTTGAGCGCCAGCAAACGTTCACATTGAAAAACGCTTGTTCCTAGGTAACGAAGCATGGATTGGAAGCTGAACTTCCCTTCACTGACAGTTTGCACCCTTGGTCTGCAAATAACCCTGGCTTGTGGACGCAGAACCGCAAAACACGGAAGGGATATTGCATTTCACTGTACATATAGAAAAAATCACATCCAATCACTTTCAAAAAGATTCATTACATATGAAAATCAATGCAGAATAAGTTATTGTTAAAATAATAACATGATTTGATTTTTTTTTTAAATAAAAATTATTATTGATCTTTATTTATATTAATTTTTTTCGAAGAGTTGAATATTTTTTTTTATTATTTTGTTGTTTGATTGATTTTAATTTTAATTTTTAGTATTCTAGAACCAAGACTCTGAAAGCGTTGGCTGATGTCACTACCCCTTCCTTGTTAGGCACTTCTTGCTTCTCAGTTATATACGTTTTTTCCTACTCTTTCTGGTGCAAAGCAAATCACTCCATCCTCCTCCTCTTTTCACTTTCCGTCTCTCGAAACACCGCCGAGCTTCCAAATTCTGAAAGTTTCGTCCCGACGACGAGATTTGTGACTATATAGCAACATGCTTTGCCCTTTTTCTTTCAATTTCTAAATCATTTGTCCTAGGTTTTCTTCAGCTACCCCCGGGGCCTGGGGGCGACCCTTTCTTTACAATCTCTTGGGTCCTGTCAATTGTGCCGGACTTCCGATTTCTAGGGTTCGCGCCATGGACTCCGAAGATGATATGCATGATGCCAACGATATCGAATCCCTAGATGATGATTTCTACAGCGGTGAGACGGAGGACGTTCCTTTGGATTTCTACAGCGACTACGATGATGATGCTGATGATTACTTTGACGATGGTGATGAATCTGACAAGATCGAGGCTCGTCGCCCCGAGGTCATTTCCCTTCTCAATTTTGTTTCTAGTCTTTCTATTGGCTTATAAATTGTTATTGACTTCAATGTTGGAGGATTTCACTGTAATAAATTGTGGAGAAAATTAGGTTATTTTGAAGCCCCAAGTAATTCTGTGAATTGCTGAGATGGTACCGTAGTGGTCGTTTACATACTAGTTTGAGCGGTGGCAGGACAGAATATTTATGACCAACTAAACTTGAAAGCAGCACTGATTTGTTAAAAAACTTGATATGAACTAGATTTGAACTTTAAGTGGGAATGATAGTTTCTATGATCCTTCCCCTCTTGCTAATAATCCAATTTTTTTCCACTCCACGTGGCATGGACATGAGTTTTACGATTTCCAGTTCAAGACCTATGCCATTGCTTGTTCCTCAATGTTTTCCGATATTTTCTGTTCCTGATAGAGTTGATAGAGTTCCGAGATAATGGACGATATGGAAAGATAGATGTGATGAATAAATATTATTTTTAATTTATTTTAGATATTTTCTATTTAATAATATTGTTTAGATTTTATTTAAGTATTTAGTTATCTAGATTTTATTGATTATTTTAGATAATTATTTAGATTGTATTTAGCATTATAAATATGACTAGCAACTTAGAAGCTAGCATATCATAGTTAATAAACAGTCTTTTAAACTCCTTGGAGATTCTCTTAAGTGTGGCTATTGAGAGAAGTATAGAATGAGATTCTTGTTGTATATCATCTTGATAGATTTATTCCTTCTATTTTTTTCTATCAGTTTTATGTTCTCTTATTAATATTATGAAGTTAGATTCTGATTTCATGTGTTAATAGAGATTTATCTTTCTCATTCTCCTTTACCTATCTTGGATCCTATCACCTTCTAATTTATGGATTCCTGTCTATCTTTTAGCAAAATTTCACCATCTTGAAGGAGTCAGATATTCAGCAAAGACAGGAGGATGATGTCACTAGAGTAGCGACCGTTCTTTTTATCTCACGTGTTGATGCAGCTATTTTACTTCGTCACTATAATTGGTACATTTATAGCTTTTGTATTCTTTTACTAATTGACATGCCTTCTTATATCTTATGTCTGTTTTTTATATCAGCATTAGAGTTATTAAACATTTTATCATTTTAGTGCTTCATCGTAAGATATCTCTGCTGCTTGATGTTATTGGTACACTGATGTATGGATGAGAGTTGGAATTGCAGGAATGTCAGCGAAGTGCAGGAAGCATGGTTTGCTAATGTAGAGCATGTCCGAAGAACAGTTGGGTTATTGGAGAAGCCAGTTGTCCAGTTTCCTAATGCTAGAGAGGTATGATTTAAAGTTTGGTCAATAACTTGGATTTTGTATTTTTTATTCCTCACAAGCTTGTGCTACATTCTCGTGTATCTGATTTTTCTTGTGTGGTCAGCTTACTTGTGGCATTTGTTTTGAAACCTATCCTTGTTCACGGATTGAGTCTGCTGCTTGTGGTCATCCCTATTGCATCTCATGTTGGGAAGGTATGCCACTTTTGTTTGTTGTGCTATTACTTTTATAATTATGGATCTTCAGATAAGATTTTGAAACCATTTATTTGGATTTTGCTTGTAGTATCCTTCTCACGTTCCAGTATTCATCTCTACCTTTTATATTATTTTATTTTCTCAATTTGTCCAATCAAATTATTCAGATGCTGTAAGAATCAGTTACTATCCTTTCCTAGAGTTTGTTTTCTAACCTTATAATGTTACATGTTAGGGTATATTGGCACGGCTATTAATGATGGTCCTGGATGTTTGATGCTGCGGTGTCCTGATACCTCTTGTGGTGCAGCTGTTGGTCAAAATATGATTAATCTATTGGCACCTGATGAAGATAAGCAGAAGTATTTTCGTTACCTTCATAGGTCCTATGTTGAAGACAACAAGAAGGTATATATCATATTGACATTGAATCTGAATAACGATAGCAAAAGGAATATGGACATCTATAACTTCTAAGGATCTCATCTGTTACAAAAAATTTAAGAGAATGAAAAAGTAGTTTTTTTTCGTGTGTTTCAATGCATTGAGTCTACTTGAGTGTGAACTACTTTGATAATTCCTTGGCAAAATCCCTAACTTGCATAACTGATGTCATAATAACCGCTTAACACTTTTTAATCATTCTTGTTTTTGATGGAAGATACAATTATACCTTCAACCTTCTTTTCTCTGCCCCATCCTCAAACTAATCTTATGCACGGCTTCCTTCACACTGTTTAGACCAAGTGGTGCCCTGCTCCTGGATGTGAATATGCAGTTACATTTGATGCTGGTGGTGGAAATTATGATGTTTCTTGCCTCTGTTCTTATTGCTTCTGCTGGAATGTGAGTTATCTTTGGGTGATCAAGTAGTATTGGATTCTGACTATCATTGTTGGTATGCTGACTGATAATATAAGTGAAACGACAGTGCACTGAGGAGGCTCACCGTCCTGTGGATTGTGGCACTGTGGCAAAGTGGATTTTGAAGAATAGTGCAGAGTCTGAGAACATGAACTGGTAGAGAATATATTTTGACATTTGTAGCTTGTCGATGTTAAGTCTTAATTGAATTTCATTTGAATATTTTGTTGCTTTTGTGTTTCTTATCTTGAGTATGCCTTGTCTAATTAACTGTTTGTCTACTTTGCCTATTTTAATATGTAAGGATTTCAAAGATTCAGTGCATCTTGATCATGTTAATCTTAGCCTGAAAATGGAAAATCTTTGGTAGTGTGTGCTCATTTGGAGATTCATCATTCCTTCATTACTTTTTCATATATAATTGAAATATAAAAAAATGGTGGGTATTGGGCAATTATTCAAGATCATTAACTCCTAAAGATCTCATCTGCTATAAAGATTAAAAGGAATGAAAGAGAGTACTGTTTCGTGTGTTTCAATTCATTCATTCCATTCCAATTTTTTTTGGGCAGCTTGTTTGTTCAGTGGCCATGTCTATTTTATCTTACATATTTGTTCAAATATGTATGTTTGTGTATTGGTATTTGTATATATTGTGTGTTGTTTTCGAAATTGTAAGTTGGTGGAGATGGTAATTTTCCATAATCTTCTTTTACAGTGAGAGGATGATTTCTTAAAATTTGAGGAGCCTTTTCTAACTGTTGATTTGATGGTTTTCAGGGTACTTGCCAACTCAAAGCCCTGTCCCAAGTGCAAGAGACCAATTGAAAAAAACCAAGGGTGCATGCACATGACCTGTACACCCCCATGTAAATTTGAATTTTGCTGGTATGTTCTGCTTCTGCCCTTTTCTATAAAATAATGCAGCATGCTTATGCCTTTTGTTTCTCGCTTTTGTGTAGTTCCTTGATAAAAGTTACCATGTTCTAGATGTTTAGTAGTCTACTTTGTTTTTGGTTATGAATAATGAATTATTTTCCTGGGGCCCTTAACCTTAACATGTTTGTAATTTGTTTTCAAATAGTCTAAACTTCATTGTTAATTGAGCGCTATGAATTTACTTAAATAGGCTATGCCTTGGTGCATGGTCAGAGCATGGTGAAAGGACTGGTGGTTTCTATGCTTGCAATCGTTACGAGGCAGCTAAACAAGAGGGAGTGGTATGAGACACAGTCACTTGACTCATTTTGATTTAGTTTTCATGATACCTTGCTCACTGCTTTCTTCATAAATTTGGACCGTTACAGTTTTTTATGAACAAATTGCATATTAGTGCATGCAGTATGACGAAGCTGAAAGAGGAAGACAAATGGCGAAGAATTTGTTAGAAAGATACACACATTATTATGAGCGGTGGGCCAGCAATCAATCTGTATGCAACACCAAACTTATTCGTTCGATGACAATATCTGAATATGCAGTCTTTAACATGTTGGTGTTTGGCTAGTTTTTCTTTCATGTCAATTGTTAAGTGATATTTTGATGATATCTTGCTAATACTAATGTTCTCAATTTCCCCTGTTTTACTTACTGTTTATATCTAGGTGTTTTCTATGTTAATTTTTTTAATAGATTTATATCTGTTGATATTCTCTATTAATATCATCATGTGCAATCTCTATTTTTTTGTTCTGGCAGTCTAGGCAAAAAGCTCTTGCTGATCTACATCAGATGCAAACAGTCCATGCAAGTTACATACATATATGCTTTGTTCAGCAATTCGTAATTGGAAACAGCCCAAATATTTAGTTCTCTCCATATGATAAAACATCATTTTTTGTTTTTCTTTTTGTGTGTTTGCTTGCTTGATTCAGTTGCAGTATATTCTATTCTAATAATTGTTTATCTGCAAGCTAGTTTGAACCTTTTGAGGCAAAAAGATAAACAGATATACCCTTTTTTTTTCTGGTTTTCTGATTTATTTTCTTGCTTTCTAATTGATGTATAGCTCAGTAAGTGCTGCTGGAAGCCTGGACACCTTATAATTGCTTGTTACTTATTATTTTTTGACAGCTTGAGAAGCTTCGTGACACACAGTGCCAACCTGAGTCACAGCTTAAGTTCATAACTGAGGCCTGGCTACAGGTTGATGATGGTTTCATCGGATTTTGTAAAATTTCCCACTTTCAATTATGAATTATGAAGTTTTTCCCCCTACTTTGACCTTCAAGGGTAGCAATTTGTTTACATTTCACAGACCCCTTCTCTTTATGAAGTTCCCATTTGTTTAATTTTTTATTGAGGCAAATCATTTGATGAGGCTATTTTTGCCTGATACTAATTTTGTTAGTGGATTTCATTCGATATTTAGTGGGTGGTGGTTGTTGCAGCAACTATAATTCTTCTACTAGCAGTATAATATTCATCAATATAAAACTCCTCTGTTTTGTGTCTAGGTTCTGGCTATCTGCTTGTGTTGGGTGGTTGTTTCCGTCACTTCCTAATCCCTGTTTCATGTTAGCAGATAGTTGAATGTAGGCGAGTGCTGAAGTGGACTTACGCTTATGGGTACTATTTACCGGAGCATGAGCATGCCAAAAAACAGCTTTTTGAGTACTTACAAGGTCAAACATGTCAGCTTCAATTTTATTGCAACTTTTTTTTTTATTGAAAATAACTGTTCCCTAGTTGATCTTGATCCACCACTGATAATACCTCTATCCTTTTGCTCTCAGGTGAGGCAGAATCTGGTTTGGAGAGGCTTCATCAATGTGCTGAAAAGGAATTGCAGCAGTATCTCAATGCTGATGGCCCATCTAAAGAGTTTAATGACTTCCGAACAAAGCTAGCTGGACTGACCAGGTATATGTTGATTTGAGTTTTGTTGACCACCACCATTTGCTTTACGCTTTTTTCTATATTTATTTATTTACTCATGTGATTAAAGTTTAACTTCTTTTTTTTTAAAAAAAAAAAAAAACTGCTGCAGGCTGCAAGTGGTGTTTTGCTTTAGGTTCGATATTGGAGTTGGGGAAGGAAAAGGGAAGGGAAGTAGTCGATGGAAAACGAAAGAGAAGTAATTTTTTTTTTTTTTTTTGGGTTGGGGGGGGGTGTTTAAAATTAAACAATGATTTTCATTCCCTTCGATTGAATGTTAGGATGAGGAACAGGAAATGTAAGGTTGAAAATGTTCGATTTTTTTTTTTTTCAGTTTCACAATTTTACACTTATTGAGATGATTAATTTTAGTGGGTTAGTTTATTAGCATTGAAATTTCAGAGTAATGGACATTGATAGTGATTTATTCAGCTTTCTTCTCCAAAACCCACCCCTCAAATAGGACAAACACAGGAACATGAAAGTTGGACGTTTTCAGGTATTAGCTGAACATACCTAATGCCTTATCTTGTAACATCCATAAAGAGCGTGCCCTTAGAGTTTCCCTTGAAATATAAAGACACACTATTGAACATCTATTGGAACTGAAAAACTAGTCACACATGTAGTGATCGTCTGATTGTGGCAGTTACCACATGTAATTTGCTTGTTAAGATGCATGCAGTTTGTGTTGATGGATAGAATCCTGTTTTCAGTTCTTTATTTCCATTTTATTAATTAGAAAGATGTCTGTAATCTCTCTGTCTCTGTTCTTATAGCATGGTTTCAGTATGCAATTTGTTGAATAGCACATCCTCAAAGATATTTTAAAATCATTTGAAGTGTTATGTGTTGATATTGAAGGGCATTGACCTCATTTGGTTTCTAATTTTGGCAGTGTGACTAGGAACTACTTCGAGAATTTGGTTAGGGCTTTAGAGAATGGTTTATCTGATGTGGATAGTAATGGAGTGGCTTCCAGCAAAGCAACGAGCTCAAAAAATGCTACTGGCAGCAGCAAGGGTAGAGGGGGAAGAGGAAAAGGAACCACTCGAACAAGCAGTTCCAACAAAATGACTGATGATAGTAATTGGTATTGTGGGCAATGTACCTATGCAAACAATATGTCTGTTAACACCTGCCAAATGTGCCATCAACAGCGGCGATAGAAAACATGGATCTTCCATGGGGGAATGCCTCTCGCAAGCCCAAGGCTAATTACATGTGAACACGATGAGTGAAAGAAGGGGGTTAAGTCACGGAAGCATGTCATCCTCCTTGCTTTTATCGAACACGACCCAATTTGGTGTATATAGCGATATATTTTGGGTATGGCGTTTCTGCAACAGGCTTTGTGACCAAGTATCTTGTGCAACACAAGCTGGAGATGAACACAAATGTGCTTATTTGTGCCCTCATTTCTTTTAGTAAGAATCCATTTGCTGTATCTGTAAGACAAAGTCTTCCCCATTCAGGTTTTTTGTAAGCTAAGGGTGTTGGTTTCTTTACTATAAAGTGATGAATGACGTGGAGACGGGTAGTTTTACCCATACCCCATAATCATTTTTTTAAAGCAAGACAAACGGAATACAAAAGGGCAAACCTAACATCTGTTGCAAATGCATAGGAAGGAACTAATTGTGCTACCATCTTCAATTTTTAATTATATAACTCCGTGTCCAAAACTCGTGTCCTGTCGGTGTAGTTTGAGCTTGCAGTTTCAGCTTCGGCCAAGTTCATCCTGTGATAACTTTCCGTAGCCTGTTTTTTGGGCTGCTGGATTGGGATCCGGCCATCAGATCGGAGAAGCGTGCAATGATTAGTATTGTGATTTTTATTACCTCTAGATTGTTTTAGGCTTACGGAATCTGTCAGGGGCTCAAGACATTGTGACCGAGGGTGAAGCTTCACTTTAGCGCTGAAAATCCTAATTCCGGGGTTTGGTGCCTTTTTTTTTCCCCAATACATGGCAATAGCAAGTTGTGCAAAAAGATTAAGATTTAGTTATGTCTAAGGACAAGAGGCTTTTACAAGTATGCAGAGGGACATTAAAGATTGTAGTATCAAAATTATTGTGAGATATTTGATAGGTTAAACAATCAACACATTTATTTAAATCTCTATAAACATGATCAAACACATCTATTTAAATTTCTATAAATATAATCAAATGTGATCCCTCAAACCCCTCAATCGTGATATCAAATGTTTGGTGGCTTTTTGTTGAATATTATTGAGATTCCTGTGGCAAATTCAAAATTGTAATCCTCTGTTCAAATGTTGCTCTGGTTATCTTCTCAAGTGAGATAGGTACTTTAAATCTTTGATATGCTATTGGATCAAACTGAAGTAGGGATTGATTCTTTTTTTTTTTAAATCTTTTCATTTTGTTTTTTTGAAATCTAATATTCAATATTATCTTCAAATTTTGTTAAATCCAATTAGGAGCAGCACTCTTCATGTGATTTTTTCCCCTTCCACGAAATCTACTTTATTGGAGGAATTCAACTCTTTTCATCCAATTTAACCAATCCTAATAAGGGTAAATCTTTAACTAATGTTAAATAATTGATTGCATATTTATTTACAAAGAACAAGGTTGGTTATAGTCAATTAGGCATTGTCATTAGAACAAGGCACTGCCCATGACTAGTGTTAGGTTTGGGAAGTGCTTAAGTAGTTTATAATTTAGTTATGCGATGGACAAAAAAGACAGAGGTCTTAGCCTTAAAAAGCTTAAAAATCAAAATATTACTTTTATTATGAATCTTTGTTAGGACCTTATCACTAAGTCTAATTTGCCTTTATGCGAGGGTTTTCAAGATAAATACAAGTGCAATAAACCCAAAATTTTGATGGTGGTCAAACCTAACACTTGCTCTTATATTTGGAGTAGCACATGTAAAGTTTGGGATAAATTCATGCTTCATGTTGGTTGGAAAGTTGGTAAAGAAGACTAAATATCTTTTTAGTATGATAAATGGACTTTGCTCCTAAACTCTCTTATTAAGTATGCTTTCCCTAACGCCGACTTTATTATCCATGCTTGAGTCTCTGACTTTCACAGTAATGCAAGATGATGGAATATTGACCTCTTAAGTTACTACCTTCACTCAGACATAATCAAACAAATTTTGATTGTGCAATCTCCTAATCATCAAAGTGAAAAAGATATTCTTTTCTAGAGGGCTTCCTCATATGACAACTTTTCAATCAAATTTGCTTACAAAGCTATAAAGACCTATAAGGACCAAAATCACTCGGATATTTGGTCTAAGATTTGAAAGTGGCCCACATACAAAAAAAATCAAATATTTTCTTTGAAAGGCTGCTTGGAATTGCCTACATAATAACCACACGTATACCATTGATCACTCTCCCTAACAAAGTAGCTGCCCTTTTAGTTGTAACTCCTCTGACTCTTCTATTTATATTTCGAGAGAGTGTAACAAAGCTAAAGAGGTTTGGAAAAAATTAAAACCTACAAAATTTCATACCTTTTTCTCTCTTGGTTTGCAGGACTAGATACTTTGAAATGAAAAGAATGAAGTAGCTAGCTTGAATACAAGAAGAACTACATAACAAAGACTTTTCGCCTAAGCTTCTTGGAATATTTAGAAAGCTAGATGCAAGAAACATTATTCTAAAAAGGGGACCCTGGACAATGAAATTGCCTTCTCCAACACTCAATAGATTAATAATGACCTAAAGCTTATATCAAAATTCAATTACTTGAACAAAAGAGGAACTAGATATGAAGTTAAATAGATCTCACTTGAACCAGGATAGGTTAGACTTGACATTGATGACTTAGTCAACATTAATGACGCTGTTGCTTATGGAGGCATTATTAGAGATGATAAGGGAAATTGAATTAAAGGATTTTTCAGATTTCTTGGCTATCATTCTAGCACAGTGGCAGAATTTATGGAAATCTTTGAAGAACTTAACCTCTGCTGGAAAGAGATTATTGAAAAATTAACATCTTCTCTGACTCTATAGAAGCGTTGTCTTTCATTAGCTAGAACTACTCTAAAAATCATCCCTTATCCAACATTATCAAGAAAATTAAATATCTTACTATAAGGAATTGGATAATCATCTTTGATTACATTTATAGAGAAAAAAATAGATGCATAGATTTCTTGGCACACCATACTATAAGAAACAACCTCGATATTGCAATCTTTGATGAACCATTGCAAAATTGTAGAAACCTCTTGACTTTAAATATGACTAGATTTTAGTCTTTTTGCATGATTTCCTGTGACCATATAATTAAAAAAAAAAAAAACTCTCTAATAGGTAGTTCGGAACGCTGATGTTGCCCTGAAAGTAAGACCTGTCTCTTGTGACGATCTCTTGGTATGACCCATGGAAAAGTACTCACGTCCTTAGGATCTACAGTGCAACGATTATCTTTAGTCATTCATGAACTGAATACGATTTGGCTTTAAATTATCAATTTTTCAGTGTTGTCTTTGATAAAATGGCTAGATTTGCATTCTTTTTTTATCCATGGTTAGATTTGTATTAGTATAAGCTTTTATCATAGATGCATTTAAAGAGAACTTTCTGTTTTATCTGCTCTAGTTTCTTTGCAGATAAAAGGATAAAACAAAGTGGGCACAAGCAACAGAGATAAAAACATTCTGAGACATCACTCTTGGTTTGTAACCTGTCACCAATTCGATTCTCCTTTTGAGTTTGAAGAAAATCCCATTCTCAGGACCAATGTCAATAGTCTTCCCCATAAATCGGTGAAATTACACTCTTGAGACAAAAAAGAATTTGACAATGATCATGATGTGACTATAACTCCTTAGTTACCTTCTCCCCAAAAAGGCCCGCGACCCATTTTCCTCAGAGTGCAACAACCAACTGTACAGGCTACAGAGTTCAAATCATTACAGCATGTCCAATGTATCTGTCGCGTTCGAACCTTCCTAGTTTCCAAGAGAGCATTAACCAAGGATCTTGACCATGAGCCATACCTCAAGAAACTTAGGCACATTTCACAGATTTGTTATTGAACATTTTGAAGCTTAACGCATTTAGCATTGCTCTTGAATATTGGCGAGAAGCCATTTTCCAATCTGGTCCTGTCTTCATCATTGCCTTGAACTCCTCATAACTGATTCGACCGTCCTTTAGAAAAACAAAACAACCACTTATCATTCCAGCTTGCAAAAATTACCTTTAATAGGAGCATACGCAAGGACCCTTCCCCCCCCCCCCCCTCACCTTGTCCAAGTCGACTTCAAATAGGATGTCATGGACCACCTGGTCATTACAGGGACCTAAGTCATCATCCAACAAGGCATCTCTCAATTCATCAAATTCCACAAAACCACTGTTATTCTTGTCAAAGTAACAAAAAGCTTCCGAGAGATGCTCGTCACTTCCAATCTTTCCCAGATGGACATTCATCGTGATGAACTCTTCACAATTCAGTGTGCCATTTCCATCTGTATCTGCCTTTTGTCATGAACAAAAATTACACTTCTATTATCTAATGGGCGTAAATCGTCAGATTAAGACTCGGTGCATTTCTATTGCCACACAACTTCTAAAAAGAAAAGAAGAATAAAGAGACATTGCCGGAAGGCGGCAAAATGGGTAAAATTAACTTACTGCGTCCAATAACATCTGCACGTCAGGATCAGGAAGAGGGTGTCCAATTCTAGAAAGACCATCTTTGAGCTCTTCAAACGACAAGTTTCCATTTTTATCCTTGTCCATCATATGGAACATCTGCTTGATCCGATCTATTTGCTCAATTGGGAGGCTGTCTGCCACCACCTATCCACAAACCAGATAGAACAGTTTAGGCCAGTTTTGAGGTACGAGGTTGTCATTTATCCAGGGGCATTTAAAAAATCTTACTCTAAGAACTCTCTTCTTGAACTTGTTCATCAAGGAAAATTGCTTGATTCTCATTCGTACATGGTCTCCGAGATAAACATTTGGACCTTGGTCTCTGTTCTGTATCCACGGATGTTCTTCGCCCCAACAAAACAGCAATCAGTACATTTTCTTCACGCAACCAAAATTTTCAATTTGTTTACAACACCAATCATGTACATACCGAGAACTTCTTGACTAGTTAATCGGCTGTATGGATTTGGATCAAGCATGTTTTTAACCAGATTTTTTGCTCCTTCTGAAACCTTAGGCCAAGGATCTCTTTCAAAATCGATGTTTCCCCGGATAATTGCCTGCGCTATCCCTTCCTCGGATTCTGTTCCAGTTAAATGGCATTATTCAAAACACATTTTTTCGTAACAAAACTTGATGTCCACTTGATTTTCTTGCTGTCTAAGATTAATAAGCAAAATGAAAGGGAATCAATGAACCCACCTGCCCAAAAGGGTGGAACCCCGCAAAGTAAAATATAAAGGATCACGCCGGCGCTCCACACATCAATTTCTGGTCCATAGTTACGTCTCAAGACTTCTGGAGCCATGTAATAGGGACTTCCAACAATTTCATTAAACCTCTGCCCTGAAAAACACATGTTATGGTTAATTTTCTCCAAAATGAAAGAACGCTTGTTGGTTCCAGACTATAATAAATGAAACTGTACCAGATTCATAAAAGGTAGAAAGCCCGAAATCAATTGCCTTCACGGGAGCAGACTCGCTTGCATCTCCAAATAAGAAATTTTCTGGCTTCAAGTCCCTATGCATCACCCCGTGCTCCTGGCATACCTGTAAAATGTCCATTACACAATTGGGTTTCAAATTTGATCAAACAGAATACAATGCTACAAATATGTCCAAACTAAACAAAAAATGTAAACCTTGCAAATCTCAAGAATTGTCTTGATAACGTTAGCGGCGGCACGTTCTGTGTAATGGCCCTTGGAGACGATTCTGTCAAAAAGCTCGCCTCCTTCACAAAGTTCCATGACGAGATACACAGCATCCTTGTCCTCGTAAGCCTCCTTGAAGCTCACAATATTGGGATGCTTTGGCAAATGCCTCATGATCTGCACCTCTCTCCTCACATCTTGGATGTCAATCTCCGTGCGAAGCTTCGTCTTGGCGATCTTCTTGCACGCGAACGCCTTCCCGGTCTCAATCTCCACGCATCTGGATGTCACGCCGAACTCGCCGCGCCCGAGTTCTTTGCCAAACTCGTACTTTTCAAAGATGTCGTCGGGTGCCGGGTCCTCGATAACGTTGATGGGGCGGATGTTGAGGGCTTTCTGCGTCGGCGGCGGCGCGAGGGAGCCCGATTTGGGCGTGGATGACTTGGCGCCGTCCTTGGACCTCCTGCGAGGGAATGTCTTGCCTGGCGTGGATATGCAGCCTCCCATGGACGACACTAGAGTGTTGGCGGCAGTCTGAGGAACTATAAGATGGCGATGATCTGATGAAGGTGGGGATTACTTCAACCATGGGAAGACCAACATTGTTCCTGGCAGGGAAAATGGGAATTCTAAAACGAGAGAGCAGGCATCGAGACAGACACACGCACAGAGAGACGGCTGTAAGTACTATATTTGGGGAGATAATGCCGTCGAACTGTAATGCTAATGTTCGGAGCACTTTTTGTCTTGTACAGTTTGTCCCGCCATTTTCTTAGGACCGTTGAGCTTCAATTCTATTTCAAGACGAATGCGCGACCTTTGGCCCCAAAATAAATAATAAATAAATAAACGAATAACAGAACCCAGCATTACTCTGTTTCCATTTTATTTTATTGTCACATCCACGCTCGCCTTTATTAGCTTTGTTTGTTGTCTTTACTGTTAATATTGAGAGGATATTCGCGTGCATATGCCTCAACATATGAATATGATTTCCAAAACAAGATATCCATCTTCCTGACATTCAAGGGTAGTTTCGGAATCGTGTTTGCAGTCATGAAAGAAGCGAACACAGCTATGAGCTTAAGGGGGGAAACAGAATAACGTGAATTCATGAAGGAAGACAGAATCGTTGAATTTACAAGTGAACAATAAGATACATGTGTCGATCTGAGGGAAGAACTCCTCAAATCCCTGTGCCTAGTAACCTGTCTGCATGATCAAGATGGAATTAATTTCAAGAATGAATGCAGAGTAGGTAGCGTCGTCATCACGCCTAGCGTAGGAACAGGGGAAGCTGCAATCTTGGGGCAACCAAGAAATGGCCTTGTTGCTCCATGGGGATTCCAAGGCAAGAAGAAAGAGATAGAGAAGCAGCAAGAGTGAAATAGCGAGGGAGACACACAAGTCAGGCGTGAAACAAGAGAAGGTCATGGTGAAGAAGGCTGCGGAGAAGGAGAGGCAGGTAGGGATAGATATATGGAGGGCGAGGGCGCGGGCGAGGGCGGAGAAACAGAGTCGAGGAAGCGTGATTGGGGGATGACGGGGGAGCTGGAGGGGGGGAGGAATGTGGCCAGAAGTAACATTCAGTGAATGTGAGTGCAAGTGGACCATGTGGGCCCCCTTGCCTGATGCACTGCATCTCCCCCTCCCAGTCCTCGCATGTTGACGCTATCATTTCCGACCTTGATGGGTTTTTCTAGTCTGTTCCAAATACCTACTCTGACAAACCATCCTTCATTTGTAAAGTGGATCCCCTGGATTTTTATCACTGTGGAGCTTGCAAAAGGGCCGGCTTGGACTCATAGGAGCCGGGCCATCTAAACCTGTTTTTTTAAAAAATAAGATAAATATAATTTTTAATTTTTATACTTTACCCACATTTTATTTTTAATTTTTATACTTTTTTATTATTTTAAATTTTTAAATTTTTATTTTTTATTATTTTTGATCCCTTTATGAATAAAGTATAGGGATTTTGAAAGGACAAAAATAATAAAAAATAAAAATATAAGAACCTAAAACATAAAAAAAGTATAAGAATCAAAAGCAAAATATGAGTAAAGTATAAGAATTAAAAGTTATATTTATCTAAAAAAATAAGTTAAATTCAAAATTATAGCTTCGTTGAGTCCTTTGTTTCCCTCTAGATAAGGCATTGGGGGTGTCCGCAAATGTGATTTCATTTGAAAGTTGAAAATAAAAAATTGCTTCAACCACAAAAAGTTAGCAAATTATTTAAAAAAAAAAAGGTATAATGGGCTTGGTAAGCTGTCGAAGCCCAAACCTCATTTTTAGGACTGAGTTACATAGTTTTCTTAAAATAAATCTATTTTTTAAACCTGACCCTTATTCCTAGCTTTAATTTTTAGAGATATGTCAATTGAATTAAGATACAAAGAATGAAATAATAATTCTATAAAAAAATTTAATGGAAAAAATATAACATAAAAATAACAACCCACTTTTTTGTGTATTTATGCCATATATATATATATATAGAGGTTTAAAGAGAAAATGTCCCAAAACTTTTTCGTGAGGGGTACCTGATATATTAAATCTTTTTTAGAGTAATGTCATCTCAAGATTTTTAAAATCAAAGCAATGTTGCCCCAATGCTAACCCTAGAAAACATTTTCCATTAAATGGTTATGTTTGACCATTAGATGCACATATAGCAAGTTTTTTTTTTGGTGCTGAGTGGCGCTCCCATGTTGATAATTAACATATCTACCCAGCATCCCCTTTGCCTTCTAAGTCTTCATCAGCGCTAGCTCCTAATACTCCACCAACACTATTGTTAATCATCACCCTATCAAGAACTTCCTATTCGATTACCACTGTTGCCTTATTCATTCTCACAACAACTCATCACTGAAAGAATGTAAAGGATGGATGCTAGCCTAACGGGCACAACGTGCACGAAATCAAAGTCCACTTCCAAACAAGAAGAGTGACTTACAAGAGCCTCCTAACCAGACTAAAAAACATCATGTCCTTCTCAAAATTTCTTAGAAAGTACGGAGTAGATAAACCCAAGTACAAATAACTTAAACCAAATTAATAACCATCGACCAAAAAAATATGAAATTTTACAGAGAAAAGAGAATATTAGACCAATTACCACTTTCAATACATTTTAAGTTGAATTTGGAATTAGATATGCATCCAACCCATTTTATTTGATTTTTTGCCTTACTTGCAAAATTGGATATCCCCAAGTTCTAATCTAGTTTGTAATATCACCCTTATTACCCTAGTACTTGACTAAAACTATCATGGTAATCATAAGGCTAGCCCAAACAAATTACCATATCCTAGTTAAAAAAAACAATTTAACTGCAGTTAAAAGAATTTTTCATTGTAGAAAGGCAAGTACTATTATGGCCAAAGTAAGATTCAAAAGCTTATTTATCTATAAATACCTAGATTGTCTCAATTGGACGTTGGATGAAGAAACGAAACGAGTCAAAAGTCTCATCTAGTTGCTATCAAATGATGGCATTAATACTGTTAAAAATGTACAATGTACTGTGGCATAAAACGCTTGAGCCAAAGTGCATGCTACAAATGGAATGTGCTGCAATGCATGTCCAACAAGCCATGGTGCACCTCTGCTTTTTTGCACTAATTTGTTATTTTTCAATTAAAATATAAATTTTTTAGTACGAATTAGTATCTCATGCTTCTACGGATATTTTCTACTTTGATTTTTCATTTATAAAAGTATATGGGAGAATTTTGAAAGCTTGAAAGCTTAGGATCCTATTTTGTAAGATTTACAAATTTGGCAATCTTTTTGGGTTAGTTATTTGATTACCTTAACTTTAGAATTAATGTAGAGATTAGTAAGGAAGACTTTACAATCTCAATCTTTCTTTCTTGCTTCTGTGTTTTCCAACTATTGGGTTAAGATCATTTTTGTCCCTAAAGTATATATGAAGATTCACAAATAACCCTAAACTTAATCATGAGTTATTTTTATTCCTCAACCTCAAATAGTTTTTGTTCTATTACCTTATCGTTATCCATCCATTTTTTTATTAGTGGGGCCTATGTTCAAAATTTTTAATATTTTTATTATAAAATATTATTTTTGTAATAAAAAATTCTCTCTCTCCTCTCCTTTCTCTCTCCCCCAATGGCTACTGGCATCTACGATTTGAGACACCAGCTCCTCCTCGATAGGGTTTATAAAGTCAATGGTGGGAATCTCTAGTTGAACCCCCTGGACGGTGGCGATGCTAGGTTGTGCAACATTCAAAAAAATTTAACCTTGATTTATTAATTTAATTAGGGTAGTTAGTAAGTTAATAAGGTGTGTAGGCAGAGAGGCTTAACTTGGCATAATTGATGTGATTTCATCCTTAAAAGTGGGTTCGAATTGATGGCGGGCCACTCGAGTAAGGAAAGAGGACGAATAAGTAAAGAGTTATGTTATGTGCCACACGTCGCAGCGCGTGGTTGGTTTGCCGTGACGCACAGATACAATTTAAATGTAATGGGCTCCTCTATGCCATGCATCATGGTGGAGGGCAGCATACCCCGTGATGCACGATAAAAAATAAGATATGTTTGATTCGTCTCTGTGTGAAAACAGAAGAGAGAAAGAGGAGGAAAATGAAGAGCTTGGTTTTCGCTTTGTTAGGGCATAACTTTTGATCCCATTGTTGATAGATTGGAGCTCCCAAACACTTAAGGTGAGATCATGGTGCCTTCTTCTTCCTTTCTCTCCTTTATTTATGATTATTTATGATAGGGTTTGTGTTAGGAGATTGATTTTTGGTCTATAGGAGTATGGATCTGATTCTATTGGTTAAAATAAGTTAAATGGGAGTTGTTTAATGTATTGGAACACCACATTGATGATTTTAAAAGTAGTTGGTCCATGGGAGCATTAAATATCCAAAAATTAGTATTTATGAGATAGTTGGGAGAGGTTAATGTGCATTAATGATGGTTTGAGGTGTTATTAATGATAATGTACACTAATGAAATCTAATGAGCCTATTGGGTATGAATGGATAGTGATTATAAGTTAGTAAAATAGTATATGAGAAGTTTTATGTTGATAAAGCTTAAAGAGTTAAATGATGATGATATCCTTGTGATTTAATTGTAGAGAGATTCGTTTTAGCACCTTTTGAGCTTGTTGAAGCTTTGGAAAGTTGATATAGTGAGAGGTAAACCTTTGACCTCTTAAAGGTTTGAGGTAACTAGGGAAAACTATGTTAATTGTGTTGTAAAATGTGAATTATGAGTTTAATTGATGATGCATATTAGTGAAGTGTTGATTTGTGAAATGGTTTCTTTTAAAAGAAAATTGTGATTCTACCACCCTTGATATTTTTATAAAATTAATTGTAACTTATTAATAGGGGTGGAGAATTGTGATGAAATATATGTTATGTGAATTCATGTGTTGAGAAATGATTATTGAAATGCATAGTATGTGTGAAATGTGCATAACATGATCATTGGCAGGAGTTAGCATAAGGATAGGAGTAGGTTGATTGAAAATCCACATGGTATTGATAGTGATTATTGGAATCGAAAACTAACCTTAGCACCAACTGTTGGAATCGAGAGGTAATCCTTATCCCATGGTTGTTCTGGGACTATTTCACTTATTCTACGCGGGACTTGAACCTAACTAGTCTCCACCGATTCATAAGGAGACTAGATTAGGGGTACAAAACCCTATGGTTATTAGTATTGGGGGAACTGAATTACATAAGTGAGTAAGTTAACCCTGGTCTGGTAGATCCCCACAAGTGGAAGGCTGGATTAGTCCATGAAGGATGTAGCCATGTGATAGCCACCGATTTCGTGTCGGAGGTAACAGGAGGATATAAGGTTAGCATATGATCATGCATATAAGTCTAGCTACATGGTTATTAGTTTTGAAGTCCAGCACATGTTAAGGGCGCATGGTTATTATTTTTGCAACCCTGAGTTATGTCTTTGAAAATGACATGATATGGTGTTTTATGGCAAGCTCGGTTACATGGTTGTTAGTTTTGTGAACCGTGGCTTAATGCTATGTGATATATGTGTATTTGTGTCTAATTGTATCTATTTACAATTAATATATAACTGTAAGGATTAAGTGAAACTTAGTTACTAAGTGGTTGTACTCACCCTTCAATTCTCAATATTTTTAAGATTTAGCTTATCGGATCCAAGTCAGGAAAGACATACTTAGGCTTAGGATTGGTGGAGTAAATCCTTTATATGCCTCTCTTTTATTCTTTATATGTGTATTTGTTAATGTAATTGTCAACTAGGATTAATTACCATGATTGATGTAATACTTGCATAATTTTGTGTTTAACTAGTGTATTTTGTGCCCTGAGTTAGTGAGTTTTTGTTGTAAACCTGTGGATAGGGCCAAAATACTTGTACAAGTATGAACACACATATTTTTGAGAAATATAAATGAAATGGTTGATTTTGTGCAATTTTTCCTCCCTCTCTATGTTTTGTGAAAATTGAGGTTGAGTGGTTATTTTGTGAAATAAATGTTTTTGATTGCGTGTGGTGTGTTGCATGAGTC